TTTGTCCATATATTCTAAAAAAAAATGTTATTCATCCCCAGTGGGAATGCGTCCTCAGTCTATGTGGATGTAAATGATTGGTTAAATGATAGGTGAAATTAAATAATTTATTTAATTTCACATATCATTTAATGCCACATAGATTGGGGATGCATCCCCAATGGGGATGAATAGCATTTTTCTTCCTAATTTACCCCCATTTAATTTTCAGTATGTAAAACTAAATTATTGTTGAAACTAATAAAGAATTCGAAGAAGAAATGAAAGTTGTTTCATGTTTTCAAGAAACGAAAAATGTGTGCATTTGGATGATTTCAAAAGGTTGACATATTAAGTGAGGAAAATTTAATAAGAGTATATTGGTAAAATGACCCTAATAAAATATTCTACATTAGGAAACATGCCTATATATTTGGGACAAAAATAAAAGAAAATACAGTCTATATAATTGGGTTGGTGGGAGTACATGATTTTTTCCATACGTATCGTCAACCACCTCGGTAATTGTACCTATTTGTGAATTGAGCTTCTGTAATTTTTCTTTTTTTAATCATGCCAATAATGACTCATGCATCGCACTCGGTTCACGTGAATGTTTGGAACTTTCTCTTAATTTTGCCTTTAATTATGTATAGTTTATGTCCCTATTTGACAACCATTTTGTTTGAAAAATAATTTTTGGAATTGTGATTAATAGAAGATTGTGTTGTAAAAAAGTAAAGAGAATTTTTGGATTATGTGTAATATTATTTTATTAATAGAATGTATGGTTGAAATGAAGAATGAGAAATATAATGAGAAAAAAATAGGTGTCAAACAGAGACTATATTTGTAATTTTTTTCCTAATTCTACCTTCGTCCTGTATATGAAGATTTTTTATATATGAATTTATATCGTGTCTGTACAGTAATTAATATTTTTTAACTTGATTAAATGTTTTTACATATTCTTCCATAACTTTTAAATTGATAATGTATCATATCGTTGCTCTTGAAGAGGCACAACTTTTTTTAAATAATTAATATTCTACTATAAAACATACTCTTGAATATTTACTGTTTATAAATAATAGTTTGTTAGTGCTCCTATAATAGCATAGCATTGTTACTATTTTGAAAGAATATTAATTGCTCTAGAAAAGCATGAATTAATTTTTCATATTTCAAAAGAATATTGATATATTGCTCTATAAGAAGCAATAACAAAATACAATATGCTTTCGAAGTAGCACATGTTTCGAAAAATATATCATGTGTAGTTTATGAATTTGCGTTTATCCCTAAAGGAAAATATATAATTTATGTCATGTTGACATTGATTACTTGATTAATTATTTTGTGATGTTTAGTCACATTTTTCGAGATTAATTATATTTATTTTATTGTAAAGTTATTCAAATGATAAATACCACAAATTTTGAAATGAATTGTTGAGATACATGTTTAATTACTACCGCAAATATGCACACTATTTTTCAGGACAAAAGTCTTTCCTGAATTTAACATTAGCAGAAAATTATTTTTATACGATGTCAATTGTATCGAATATTGTTGAAGATCCTGGAAGAGCTCGTATTATTTTATCAAATAATACAAAATTATATATTGACGATACATTTTATTCTAACAAATCTAAAATGAATTTGCTTAATTTTAAAGATATTTGATGCGATGGATATCACTTCGAGACGATGTAAGAAAATAATATTGAACATTTTTGCATAATTTCTTTTGTACTTGGCTAGAAGTAGATAAAAAAATTCCTGCATTCCCATTGGCATGTATCATACATTTATAAAAATGGTCAAATCAAATATTATCATGAACCAAAAGTTTGTTGAACCAAAAAAGGCATGGTCGACTTGCAGATATAGAAGTTATAATGATACATCGAATAATAAACAACTCACATAAAATATCATTTAAAGAACCAAAATATTCTTTTACAAAATGATTATTCACGTGTACCTTGTTTTCAATGCAAGTTAGTCATCAGACTTTCAGCTACAAATGTCATTGTTGAATCTCCAATTTTCTTGGAAAGAATTCATGGAGATATATATGGGCCGATACACCCATCATGTGGATCATTTCGTTATTTTATGGTATCAATTGATTCTTCTATTAGATGGTCACACGTTTGCCTACTTTTGGCTAGAAATGTAACTTTTGGTAGACAACTTGCTTAAATCATAAAATTACAAATGCAATTCCCCGATTACTCAATCAAAGTCTATTCGTCTCGACAATGCTTGTGAACTTAGATCACAAACATTCGATGGTTACTGGAGTCATTTATTAAACATCTACAATTTACTGCTAGATCATTTACTTATGAAAACAAAACTCTCAACTTCTGTTTGGGGTCATGTCATATTACATGCTGTATCATTAGTTTGTATCAGATCAATTGCATATTATCAATATTCACATTTACAACTGGCATTTGTTCATGAACATAATGTTTCTCACTTGCGGATTTTTGATTGTGCTGTTCAAGTTCCTATTTCACCCCTACAACGTACTAAAATGGATCCCGAATGAAAATATGGGATTTATGTAGGTTTAGATTCACCATCTATTATTTTGAACCCTTAACGAGTGATTTATTTACTGTACGTTTTACATATTGTCCTTTTGAGGAAATGACTTTACCAACTTTGAGAGAAGAAAAACTATATCCTGATAAACAAGCAAATCTTTTTTGGAATGAAATAACTCTATCTCGCTTTGATCCCCCACATCAATCAATGTGAACAAGAAGTTGAAAAAAATCATTTATTTGTAAAAAGTTGTAAATCAATTACCAAATGTATTTGTTGACATAATAAATGTAACGAAGTCATATATACCAGTTGAAAATATTTCAATAAAAATTAACGTCAATGCAGGACAATTTGCTATAACAAATGAATCTCAAATATATCATAAGCGTGATCGACCAATTGGTTCAAAAGACTCTGTACCTCAAAAAAAGTACAAGAGAAAACCTAACCAGAAACTTCAAAATAAGTAATATTAGAAAAAAAAATGATCAATCGAATATTGAAAATATGGTTCCTGAATAACCACAAATGTCTGAAAATAATATGATTTCAATAATTTATGTGTTATCTCATAAATTATGGGAACGAAATAATATTGTTGTAGACAATATTTTCGTCATTAACGTGATTTTTGATATTATGTAAAATGAGAATCCTGAACCACATTCTCTTAAAAACCGTCAACATAAAAATGATTCGTTAAAGTGGAAAGAAGACATACAGATAGAATCGAAATTCTTAGAGAAATGGAAAGTAGTTGGACATCTAGTTCGAAACACCTGAAAATGTAATCCATGTTGAATACAAATGAATTTTGGTACAAAAAAGAAATAAAAATAATGAAATTATAAGATACAAAGTCCGACTTGTGGCTCAATGTTTCTCACAAAGACCAAAAATTGATTATAAGGAAACATATTTTCTCGTAATGGACACCATCACTTTTAGATTTTTAAATAGTTTGATTGTGTCACAAAAGTTCGATATGCACCTTATGGAGGTTGTGATTGCATATTTGTATGATTCACTTGATAATAACACACACACACACACATGATACATGCCCGAGAATCATATTCTCAATTAAATTGCAACGATCATTAAAAGAATTGACACAATCCCAATGCATGTAGTATAATTGCCTTAGCAATATTTGTTGAAGGAAGATTATAAAAATGACGATATCTGCCTATATATTTTCATAAAGAAAACAAATATTGGATTTGCAATTATGACAGTTTATGTTGATGATTTAAATTGAATTGAAACTCCCGAAGAGTTCAACAAAACTATAAATTAATTGAAAAATGAAGGAAAGATTTGGGAAAATCAAAATTTGTTTCTGGTTGTTGATTGAACATTTCTCAAAACAATCATTTATTTATCAATTTACATATATAGAAAAAGTCCTAAAACACGTTTATATGAATAATGCACATTCATTGGCATCACATCGGTTGTTCGATCACTTGATGTGAAAAAAATAATCATTTTCGTCTACTTGAAGATGAAGAAAAGATTCTTGATCATTAAGTATCATATTTTAGTGTAATTGGAGCTTAACTTATCTTACAAACTGTACTCGACCTGATATAGGTTTTTTTGTAAATCATCTTAGAAGATATAACTCTACACCAACACGAAAATATTGAAATTGTGTTAAAACAAATTTTCGTTACCAAAAGTGTACTATTGACTTGGAATTATTTTATTTTCAAAAGTCGGG